CTTTCTGTCCTGCCTTTTTATTTTAAATTTATCCTTAAGGGTCTCTCTCCATTCCCTGCATTCTCTTTTTTTGCTCTCTAAGGATTGGAGGGCCTCTCAGAACATGTCCTCTTTGCTTTGCCTTGGTCGCTTTTTTATCTGGCAGAGGCGCTCCACTGGTATGTAGGGGATTCCCCTGAAGGCCACATCTGCAGAAGCACAAGAAACAATATACAGAAGCCTGATTGTTGGTTCATGCAGGGCATTGACTCATTATAGTAAAATACACTTCTTGTAACATATCAATCACTTTCTCACTGTCCCTTGGTGAGCACACATCTCAACAAACACCCGAAACATAGCAAGTTCAGCCTAGGTGGGGGTTGGGCATTCAAGATAGGGCAAATGGTCCAAGTGTTTTTTTAAGTGGATCAGTGAAGGTGATTAGGGACAATATTGTAAACTCTACCACCATTTTCCACAGGCGGGGCCATGGGGGTGGGTGGGGGGTCACTGAAGCCGATATATCACTCCTGAGGGTGAGCAAGGATGCAAGGGTGTATCTACTATATGCATGTTCCTTCAGACACGGTGCCTATGTTGCTCACCTGTGTGCTGCTTTGGTCTGTGTAAAGTGGTGGGGGAAAGTTCCCTGCTCTGCCAAGGAACCTTTGGAAGAAGATTGGCAAGTACCACCAGGGAATTTTCCTAGAGATCTCTCTGGAGGATTCCAGTGAAATCTTGGTTTTAACAGTGCATTAACACACAGTTCCACTACACTTCTTATCTGCAGCAGAGAATGTAGAGCACGCTCAAACACAGCTAGTTATGCACATTTGTATTCCTTCACCCACTTCTACAACATACAGAGCAAAGCACAGCTACACCTCACATAACTGAGCAGCATCAACTCAAAAAGATCACTTACCAGGGCTCTCCTCTTCTGCATCATGTGCGCCAGAGATGGACTGTTGGGGCTGGCTAGACCCCTCCAGAGTAGAAAAGAGGTGCTGACTCACCATGCCACCGTACGACCCTGCCATGCGCTCTACATTGTCCTCCAAATTGACCTCCTCCAACTTGACTTTGTCCTTGGGGTTAGGTCTACTATCCGCCACCCCCAACCCTGACAAAGTATCCACGGGGCTCTTGGCAGTGGAGGTGGGGGTCGCCAACAAGGATGGCATCCAGCTCCTTATAGAAGAGGCAGGTCATTAGCACAGCACCAGAATGATAGTTTGCCCCCCTTGCCTTCTGGTATGCTTACCTCAGCTCCTTTATCTTCGCATGACACTGCACCACGTCCTGTTCATAGTCCTTATCCAACAAATCACGAGAAATTTGCGTGTAGGTATCTAAGTGCCTATGGCTGGAGTGGAGCTAGGGGTGCACAGCCTCCTCTCCCCACAGTGTCAGCAGATCAAGCAACTCAGCTGTGCTCCAAGAGGGAGAGTGTTTGCTGCGTTGAGCCACCATGGTTAAGATGCAATATGAGCTCTCCACACCGAGCAAACAGGAAATGGAATTTCAAAAATTCCCAGGCCTTTAAAGGGGAGGGGGCGGATGCCTGTGTATCTGGATGCACAGGAGCAGATTTCAAATTGCTGTCCAGAGCAGTTAGGATGGGCATTGTGGGACACCTCCTGGAAGTTATTAACAGTGACAAAACCAAGCGCAGCAACTACACCGACACTTTGTCGATCTAACTTTGCTGCAAAATGCTCTATGCCTCTCAGGTGGTTTTATTTTGTCGGCAAAGCATGAGAGTTTTGCCGGTGGGAGGAGCATTGTAGTGTACACCTCCAATGTTTTGTCAACAAAAGCTGCCTTTTGCTGACAAAACGGTGTAGTGTAGCCAAGGCCTTAGGCCATATCTACACTGCGCACCTTACAACGGTGCGGATGTACCATTGCAGCTGCGTCATTGTAAAGCAAGCAACGAAGCCGCTCTTCATCACCAGAGAGCTCTCCTGACAACAAAATAAAACCACCCTGAAAGAGGGGCGGTAGCTTTGTCACCGGGAGAGCATCTCCTGCCGACAAAGCCCTGTGCACACAAACACTTTTTGTTGTTAAAACTTTTGTTGTTCAGAGGGGTGTTTTTTCACACTTCTGAGCAACAAAGGTTTTAATGCAGTGAAAATGCAGTGAACAAAAGTACAGTGAAGACATAACTTCATATCTCTGCCAGAGATCTTGCGTGGGGAAAAAATAGGAAATGAAACAGACTTGCATCTACAGAAATAGATTGTGAAGGCCAGAGTTGAAACACACCATGTTGCCAATGGGCTTCAGTTTCTGGAGCTGTCAATCTGGACCCTGTCAGAACTATTAAATTAATTCATTTTAAACAAAGAAACATGATCTTGAGAAAGTAGCAAAAGGTGCAATCATTCATCATCCATTTTCACAGGTACCTCCCTCCCACAAGTCCAGTGCTGGCACTGGGCTTGATGAACGCTGCTTTTCTGCTCCCTCAGAAGGATGGATCCTGCAATAGCAGCCACTCGGGGGAGGAAGCAGCTCTGGGATTATCCATCAGTAAGGTTAAGTTTTTGTCATGGGTATTTTTAATAGAAGTCAGTGACAGGTCGCAAGCAATAAACAAAACTTCACAGAAGCCCATGATCCGTCCCTGACTTTTACTAAAAATACCCGGGGCAGGGGACAAACAGAGCAGTGCTGGGGTTTGCAGCAGCTCCAGCCCCACTGCTGCTCCTCCTGGCCCCCAGTCAGCTGTTCGGTGGCCCTGGGCTGACCACTGGTAAGATGTTTAGCACTCGGGGCTGACTGCTAGTCAGCTCTTCTGGTGGTCACTGCTCCAGCAGCACTGGGGCTGACAACTGCTCCAGCCCTGCCACAGAAGTAGTCCCGGAAAGTCCCAGAATCAGTGACTTCTGTGACCGAATCATATCCTTTTTCATCAGGAAAAACTGGTGGAGTGAAGCATTACAAGGCAAGATGGTGCAGGTGAGTGGGAGGGACTCTCTACACTTGCACAAAAGTAGGGAGCGAGGGTGGAGTGGGCAGACTAGAGACCGATATCCCCGGGACTTGTCGTGGTTGTGCCTCTCCCTGCCCCATGTTACAACAGCACTGTGTCTCATCCCCTCCCCCCGTCCATTTGGTGCCCAATCCTGGGGGCAGCCATGGAGAAGGGCAGGGCTTGCACACCTGGCCACGCACCCATGCTTGAGGACAGTGTGGGAGGCGGGGTTTTTTCTAGGCACTGGGCATTCCTGGGGGAATTCTGCACCACTGCACATGCGCAGAACTTATGTCCCCTACAGATTTCTTTGCTTCCCCACAGAAAAATGACTTTCTGACAGGAAAGCAAAGGGAAACCACAAGAGCGGTCATACAACCCTCCCCAGCAGTATGTTTCGGATACCCAGGGCAGCCAGCTGCAAGGTAAATCACTGTGGGGCAGGGGGTGGGACTGGGAAAGACCTGGCTGGGGGCTCCTCCCCTGCGCTGGGCTCAGCTGCTAGTCCCGGCGGGGCTGGGAAGGATGGGACTTTCACTTCCCCTGCACAGCATCCAGGGCCGGGTCACACCCACCTCCAGATTTCTCCCCTGGCTTCAGGAAGCTCTGCAAACTGCCCCCTCTACCCCGTGCTTCCTGCACCCATCGCTCCTCAATTGCAGGGGAAGGTATCACTGTAAAGGGAGCTGCTCCCCCATACACCCAACCCCCATGTATCCAGACCCCCTCATACCCAGACCCTCCCACTAAGCCTTGCCCCCCGCACTCAGAATCCCCCTTGCCGAGTTCTACTCCTCCTGCACCTGGATCACCCCAATGAGCCATCCACACCCAGATCCCACCCCACATTGCCCCAAACAGCTGCACCTGGATTCCCACCCCACCAAACCCCACACCCCCAGCACCTAGACTCCCCCACTCTGCCCACCACACACAGAATCCCCACCGAGCTCTAGCCCTCCCCCCCCCAGGCAGAGTCCCATTACAGTTGCACCCAGAACCCCACAAGAAGCCCCTGTGCATCTGGTTCCTCCCTGAGCCGCCCATACCCAGATTGCCCCACACAGAACCCTCTCAGCCCACACCTGGATCCCCCCACTCTAAGATCCTGACTGCCCACACCTGGTGCATCTGTCACAGAGGGGGACAGGCTCTGTCCTTGTGTTGTCAGGGTTGGGTGCAGCCTCACTGCTGAGTCCATGTCCCCAGGGGAGCTGCACAGCCATGCTGGAGTCACCACATTTATTTGACAAATAAAATATGCAGATGTTTTCAGAATTTTAAATTGTTTGGAGCAGAATGGCCTCAGGAGTAACTGGGCTAGATGCGTTGTGACTACAAAGCAGACAGCCTGCATAGGGGGCGCTGCAGAGCCCGGTCCTAGGAGTGTCTCTCCCCCCCGCCCCCGCTTTCGCTGCCATTAGCTCAGTGAGCAGATTCTGGCCGGGCTGGCTTCAGCCGTTGCCGCTGCGCATGTTCGCACAGCTCGCGCATGCTCAGTAGCAACACGGCGCTCATTCTGAAGGGAGGCAAATTTTGACGCTACGGGCAGGCGGATGCTGACCGGGCCTCACCACAGGAGCCAACCCGCTGGATGGGGTGACCTCCAGCACCCACCCGCAGCGGCTGACCTTTCAGAGACCCATTGCCCCATCTTCGCGCCTCCTTCTCAATAACGCGCAGACACCCACCTGCAGCCAAGAGCAGCAACGGTGCGGCCTGTCTTGCCGACCCGCTATGCTGCCGCTGCACGCTGATTGGCTCAGCCAGCTGTCAGTCTCTCCATCCCTGTGTTCGGAGTGGCTTCTGGCGTTGTCCTCGGAAGTAACCCCGCCCTCTGTTAACGGGTGCTGGGCTCCTCCTCGCCCGCCCCATCACGTCGCACCCGCCGTCCCTGGTAGGCAGGTGATTGGTTCGTCGTCCCGTCACTTACACTCTTGCCGGCCGGGGATGTGGCCTGGAAACCAGCTGAGACAGAGAGGTGTGCGCGCCGGGCGCTCTTCCCAGGGGCGGGGAGGCGCGCGCCCTGGTAAGTTTTCCCCAGTACCAGGGACGCGCACGGCCCCGAGTGGCACGGGAGCGCGCTTTGTTGTCTGCAGGCAGGTGCAGTTAACTGGTCCACGTGCCGGGTGAGGGCGGGGCTAAGACATCCAGCCACTGACCCAGTCGCCTCCCCCCGCAGGGCCCCTGCCCCCTTCAGTCAGCGTCCCCGGCAGGGCTAAGGGGATTCTGACACTGCAGTCCCCTAGTGGCCAGGCGCGCTCCCGGAGCAGCCGTAGGCCTGCGGGCTCACGAGCGCTGGGGCGCCCAGCGATTCCTTATGGGCAGCGTGCGCTGGGCCTTCCCCTGCGCCGCCTGGGCCCCGCGCCGGGACGAGTGGCTGCTGGCCGCGCGCCTGGTGCAGCCTGAGGAGAAGGACCGCGTCCGCCAGTTCGTCTTTGCCCGGGATGCCAAGGCTGCCATGGTAGAGGAGGCTGGTGCGCTTTACGGCGAGAGCGCGGGAGGAGCCGCGTGT